GAGAAGGGGATGAGCCCCTGGAATGCAGGCCTGGTGAGGAAGGAGGCTTGGGGAAGGCAGACCCCTGAAGTTCTGGCTTGCACACAGATGGCAACCTTACTCCTTGCTGGGAGAGAGTGGAAGAGTCTTGCAGGCCAAGGCACTGTGGGATGCGCTGAGGCACACCGCATCCAAATCTGATGCTTTGTCATTCAAGCCACAGGCAATGGGGTAGGGGCCAGGCTCCAGGGGCGTCCAAACTTCGTTGGTGCAGTTATGGCTCACATTTCGACCTGGGTGGAGGGGAGAGGGGAAGGGGAAAGTGGGGAGAGGAGAGAGGTTGAGGCTGGGAGCAGGGCGAGTGCATGGAGTAGGCATGAGGCTGGGCTGTTTCTGAGCTCAGCCTTACCCCAGGCACCCCTGTTATATCAGGCTCCAGCTGCCCTGACCTAGACCCTCAGGGCATCACAGGGGCATTTGGGGCAGGGAAAACCTCTTCCGGGGATACAAGGGGACCCTTAACCATGAGTAACAGTCATAGCAGACATTCATAGTCTCAGTCTTGCCCCTTGTTGTGCCTGAAACTGACCCAGGGTGCAAGATATAATAAAGTGATCTTTGTCACAGCCTGGATTCTTGGTATAGAATGACCCACGACCCTTGTCATGAGCTAAATGTTCACCCTTGTCACAGGGCCACAGGAGCTGGTGCGGCAGATGATTTCTCTGTCCTGGTGGTGCAAATGGCAGCCCTGTGGCTGGGCCAAGGGGCTCTTCCGGGGTCAGCCTACCTGGGCTAATGCCTGATTTCCTCCCACGCTGGGTGTTGTTCAGATGTGCTGCTGAAGAGGGACCAAAGGTGAGGCTGGAAATGGGGTTGGAGGGTACCTGATAAGGGTGCCAGTCTGAAATGCTCATAAATAGGGAAGCAGGGAGTCCTGGCAGGGACCTGCCTGGGCAAAGGCACCTGTGCGGAGAATCAGACACCACAACACCGCAGGACCTTGGGGCTGAACTTGGCTGAGGATGGCACTCCAGGGCAGGGGTATTCTCCACTGTCCTTGGGGCCCAAAGCTGTAGCAAAGAGACAGGGCTGTCGAGAGCACATGGGGCACGAGGGCTACCTCGAGGCTGCTCACTCTCTAGCCCTGGAGAGGACTTGAATAGAAAATGGGTGAGCTGGAGGCACCTGAATGTCTCAGTCAGTTAAGCTTCCAACTTTTGATTTCGGCTCAGGTCATGATCCCAGGGGCATGAATTTGAGCCCCACATCTGGCTTTGCACTGATGGTGTGGGGTCTGCTTGGGATTCTCTCCCTGCCCTGCTTGCTCTCTCTCTCAAAATAAATAAATAAACTTAAAAAGAAAAAAAGAAAGAAAATGGGTGAGCCAGAGAAGATCCCCTCCCTCTATCCCAGGACTCATTAAAGAGGCACTGGAGTCCAGAGTGAAAGCTGGCTTATTGCGGTGAGAGGAAGAGAAAGGGGGAGAGGGGAGGAGAAGGAGGAGGAAGAAAGAGAGAGAGAGGAAGGCAGGGGTGGTGGGGGGTGGAGAAGAGGCAGGAGGAGGAGGTAAAGGGATAGAGGAAGAGGGAAGGAGAAGGAGGGAGAGCACAGTAGGAAAGAAGGTGAGGTAAAGCTGAGAAAGAAGATGGGTCCTTGGGGCGCCTGAGTGGCTCAGTTGGTTAAGCATCTGACTTTGGTTTGGGTCATGATCTCACAGTTCATGGGTTCGAGCCCCGTGTTGGGCTCTGTGCTGACAGCTCAGAGCCTGGAGCCTGCTTCAGATTCTGTATCTCCCTCTCTCTCTGACCCTCCCCTGTTCACACTGTCTCTCTCTCTCTCTCTCTCTTAGAAATAAAAAAAAAGATGGGTCCTAATGTTCTTGCCCTATAGCTTCTTCCTAAACAGCACCACAGCCACTGTCCTCATCATCACTGGTATCATCACTGTAACCATCACCATTAGCACCCCTACTAGGAGCATCACTATTGTCAACATCATGGCCACCATCATGGTCCCCATCACTACCACCATGGTCCCCATTACTATCGTCACCATCATGGCCACCACCATGGTCCCCATCCCCACCAACAGCAGCAGCAGCGACAACGGCAGCATCACCATCATCAGCTCCATCACAATGACAAGTTCGAGAACTCTTCATTCATCACTGCTGTACAGAGGGGTTTAGGCTCAGTGTCTCACTGGGTTCCCTCCACCCTTCAGTGAGGAAGAGAATCCCACTTCACCCTTGAGAAGTGAGGCTCCAAGAGGTTGGCCACTTGCCCAAGGCCACACGGAGAGGAGAAGGTAGAGTAGGTGTGACCCCGAGTCTTCTCAGGTGCCTCCTTGCCCCCACCTGCACTGAAGGGACCTGAGGACTTGTGTGAAAGCACAGAGCTATAGGAGGTGTCGAGATGTCCTGAGAGCCCAGGGCGGCCGGACAAGGGGGGGGCGCGGAGTCACTGTGCATGTACATCTACTAACTATTTCTAAACATGGCTGTGTGCTTGGAACATACCAGGTGATTCCCCATCTGCTATTTCTGTTAATCCTCCTGGCTGCCATTTGAAAGAGGTTCTTAGCACCCTAGTTTATGGCTGAGGAATTGAAGGACAGCTGGGGGGCTGGGGACAGTCAGTGAGGAGTAGCTGGGCCTGGGTCTCTTTCCACTGTGAGGTTCTGGAGGAAGCAGGAGGGAGCAAGAGGCACTGGGCTGGGATGGTGCCTGATTTGGGAGCCCTTCCCTGTTCAGGCCTCTCAACCTCACTGCTGCAGGAGGCTCCCAGCACGAGAGAAGTCCTCCTGTAGGCCCTGCTCAGCCCCCCAGCTCCCTCACTGCAGCCCAGGCAGTCTTCAACCAGAGTCAGTAAACCACTGGCCCGGCTCAGCCCCAGATCTAAGGAGCCCACTGTGGGTCCCGCCCAGGACCTGATTCTTGCGTGAACATCCCCCACCAGCCTGGGGCAAGTAGAAAAGAGAGAACAAAGCCAAATCAGCCAGCCTTGAAGTTGGGACACTAATGCCTCAGGTTTTGAGCTCCACTCTCACCAGAAGGACCAGAGTTCCATGGGCCAGGCCTGTGACATAGCAGGCACCTGGGAACATTATGAATTAAGTGGCCCATCTGCATCTACACAGAAGCTTCTTGTGCCTTCTGTGGGGGGAGGGGCAACAAATGTTACTGTGTGAAGGCTAGCGATTAGAAGTTATTATTAGTTGCACTAGAAGAGGGCAACGCCACAGCTGAGAGAGGTTGGGTGACCTGTCCCTGGTCACACAGCAAGGAAGCATCAGGGTCGGGATACAGACTTGGGTTAGCCTGACTCTGCACCTTTCTGAGCTACCAGACTGGCTGAAGGTGCGCCCTGTTCCCTGGGACTCTGGCTGCCCTGGGGATCCGGGGAAGGCAGGGGGGATCAGGGCTGGGTGACCTCATTGAAGAGCCCTGGGGCTGTGGCCCATGTCTCAATGGGAACTGTTCCTGAGGAGATCTCAAAGGTGGCCACTATGGGGCCCCAAGATGCAGCCTGAACTTGCGTGTGTAGAGGGTGCTATGTAAGAGTCTCTTCCTGCTCACCATGTCATGAAAAGGAGTCACAGCCACCCCTCCACTCCTTCTGGGGCCCTCCATGTGAAAAGCACAGCTCAGTGACTAAAGGTTGTCCACTGAGGAAATTGAGCATTCCTTTCCTTCTCTCTCTGCCACCCTCCAACTCTCCCTCAGCCACCAGTCCTGTCCCAGCCTCCTTTCCTCACCACCACCACCAGCTCACCTCTCCGGAAGTAGGTAGGAGCCTCCTGGTGGCTCTCCCCACTTTCCTGTTTCCGTTCATCCACTTCCAGCCCAAGAGAGCTGGAGAGATTGTTCTAAATCCTCGATGTGACAGGAAACTCCGTTGCTGAAATCCTGTCAATTGTATCCTGTCCCAATCAGCCAGGGCAAATGTCTTAGGATGGCATCCAAACTTTCTTACCCGTGGCTTCGCCATGCAGGTGGCAAGGTGGGGAGAGGAGATATCCTACAGACCCCACAGCCAGAGTTAACATAGCGTGTGTTGTTTCCTCAACCAAATTAGTGGTTCTAGTTTTCACTCTAGTCTTTTCAAATATTTAAAGGTGAAAACACCACAGATGAAAGACATGCAGACCACGAATTAAAGGACCAGGTGCCCACAGACATTTTGGTCCCTTGATGAGCAGTCCCTTGCCTGGCCAGTGCTCCTCCTCCAGGAATTTTATGCAGCCCAGGTGGATGCCTTCTTTCTAACTCTACAGTCTTTATCCTCTTCAGGTGTCTTCAGCCTTCCCCGTAGAACTAGGTCCCTTCCAGCCCTCCAGGGAGGACACTTCCCCAGTCCTCTCACCCAAAGGGGCTAGAGTTAGGGATGGCTTTATTTCTACTCCACACTTGCCTTTCTCGCAAACCTCCCTCTTTGGAGTTTAAGGTCACCAGCTTACACCTTCCTCCCAGGAAAATACATCTCTTTCCCTTACATTTTCAGCTCCAACCTAGTCTCCTGTTTCTCTCCGTCATTTTCAGAGGCTAAGGGACCAAGTATAGCTGTGCAGGTTGTTTACTGCACAAGGGCATTTGGCTGATATATGGTGGGAGCTACAGTCTACTTCATCTTCAACTTGTCACTAGGTGGGTTCTGGTGATAGGCTGACTCTGCACATGGAAGGGCACCACGTGGGCTCCATGGAGGCTGGCAGCCTCAGGGTTAGCAGATGGTGGAGGCTGCAGTGCAGGTTCTTATGTGAAGTTGCTGCCTTGACAATTCCAGCAGGGACAGAAGGAAAAGCCATCAGGAGGGACGCAGTCAGCAGAGTGTCAAGAGGAGCACAAGTCACAGGTCCTTCCAGGGAGTCTGAGAGAAAGCTGGTTGCAGGCTCTGCCGACTGGACACACGAGAGCTCCCGGAGGGGCTCCTCGCCTACCTACCCAGGTACTGGGTTCCCCTGGAGAGCTGGGCTGGATGGCGCCTGGCTTGGAATACGGCCCCTTTGTGACTGCTCCGACTCCTCAGGGAGGGTGATGCTGAGGTCACAACACTGAGTGCTGGGGAGCAAAGTCAGCCTGCCCCCAAAGACTCCCTTTGGCCCACCTCCTGTCCCCATTTTATAAACAAAGAAGCAGGTCCAGAGAGGGAAAGGCCACCCGAAGTAAGAGATGACCAAGTGTCTTTCTGCTCAGTCTCTGAATTCTTTAAAAAATTTTTTTTAATGTTTATTTATTTTGAGAGAGGGCCAGAGCATGATCAGGGAAGGGGCTGAGAGAGAGGAAGAGAGAGAATCCCAGCCAGGCTCAAACTATCAGGGCAGAACCCGACATGGGGCATGATCTCAAACTGTGAGATCATGACCTGAGCTGAAATCAAGAGTTGGAGGCTTAACCAACTGAGCCACCCAGGCGCCCCCTCTGAATTCTTCTCTAAGTCCTACTCCTCATTAATCCTTTCCTCTCCAGACCCACTCCTCCTTCTGTTCCTCCCCACTTGGGACCCACTCTTCCCACGGGCCCTCCCCGCTCTGGACCCACCCTCCCTCAGGTCCTTTAGTCTTTTTTTTCTCCCTTAGTCTTTGATGAGTCTCCCAGCTCATCAAACTTAAACCCAAGAGGGGCATGCTGGGTCCCTCTCTACCTGCATGAGTGCTGCACACCCTTCCTGGGTAAGTTTCCATCTTCTTTCCTCTGCCATGCTCTAAGTCCAAACCATTACCGCCTTTCACGGGTCTTCCCATTGCACTATCAGAATCCCTTCTTTTCATGAAAAATATGAATTACTGGTTAAAAAACTCAACCTAAATTGGACCATGTCAGTTACTGGCTTAATGCTTCCGGTGGCTTCTCAATGAACTTCAGAAAAAATCCCAAGTCTTCAGTCAGTGCTCAGGGCCAGCATGGTCTGGCCTCCACCACCTGTCTCTCTCCTGTCCTCCTCCCCTGAGCTCTCTCTGCTCCAGCCGCCCTGGCTTCCACTGCATTTACTGAGTGCCCATCCCATAGGCTGCTGATTCTCCCTCTCAATAGTCCCCCAACCCAGGTTCTTTCCCGCCTCCAGGTCCTCAGACAGCAGCTGAAGCAGCAACCTCTCGCGAGCCCGCCCATCCGTGAGTCCTGCCTTGATGTTGCACCTTACCCCTTTCTCCCTCCTGGCACTTCTTACCATTTGTGACATGTGTTTGTTTTCTTGCTAAATGTCTCTTCACCTAGAGCGTTAGGTCCCTGTGGGCAAGACAGCATGGCTGTTTTAATGCTGTGTTTGTCTAGCCCATGCTTGTCATATTAGTAGATGTTTAATAAACATTCACTGAATGGAAGAACAGCTGAATATATGCAGGAAGTTTCTTTAGTTAATCGGTAACAAGAAAGCCCAGTTCCTAAAGAGGCCCCTCTTCTTTCCTGCCTTCTATGGGAACATTCATTTAAGAATATGATAAGATGTGGGGCACCTGGGTGGCTTATTCAGTTAAGTGTCAGACTCTTGATTTCAGTGCAGGTCATGATCTCACAGTTGTGGGATAGAGCCCTGCATCAGGCTCTGCGCTGACAGCACAGAGCCTGCTTGAGGTTCTCTCTCCCTTTCTCTGCCCCTCTCCTGCTCACGTTCGCTCTCTGTCTCTCAGAATAACAGAAACAAAAATAAACAAACACAACAAGGCATGTACGCAGCCCAAAAGGTCATCAGCTCCAAGCAGTGAAAGACTGAATCATGACCAGTCCAAGACAACGGGGAACATGGGAGCTATAATTTTGTCATGCATCTGTCAGTCAACTTGTTGTCAATTGCTGAGCAAATATTTAGCGAGCCCTTCCTACATGCGTGTCTTTTTTGTGAAGAGCTAGTCAAATCCCACGAATCCTTCAAAGACCTGGCACATCACCTTCCACGAGGTCCCACCCCCCAGTTGTTCATTCCCTTGACCCTTTTCCTTTTGCCTTCTCACTTCCTTGACAGGTGAGTGCCCACTCCAGCTGGCACCACTTCCATCCAGGGCTCTCAGCTTGAACCGGGGAGAAGAACTTCTAGATGAGGGGACAGTCCAAGATGACTACTTGGCCCAGAGGGGTGGCCGGCCAGCAGGTGAGGTTGTCCCACATCTTGCTGCAGCCTGAGGGGTGAAGGCAGAGGACGCAGAGGTCAGCATGGTCACCAGGTGCCTCCAGCCTTGGGGTCTGAACCCTTAGGCACCCACTCTTCTTCTTCCTCCAGGCTCCCACCTGGGGAGCCTCCAGTCTGAGAGGAGTGGCACTGCCCTGCCCAGGCTATAAAGGGCCTGTCCTGACAGGGAATGGGGAGGAGGCATGGCTCCAGCTCTAATGGCCCTCCGTGAGGGCTAGAGTGCCCCCTGGGGGTATTTTGGACACTGGTGGAGTTGTTTGCTGCAGAGATTGGAGGCCTCACCTGGAACATGATGAGAGATATTCTGCAAGTGGAGTCTTCTGCAAGACTTTCAGATGAGCCACTGGGCCTTTGTGCAGGTGAAACTCTTTTGTAATGACCGGAGCCTAGACTCTGCCTCCATCTCACATCTAAACACAAGGCAGTTACTGCAGAGCCTTAACATACATGGGGTTTTCCTGAAACGCAACCAAGTAAAGGGAGATGTGCTTTGTCATATGCTGAACATTATTAAGAGTTGTTCAAGGTTTGGAAAGTCACATTACCTACAGCAATGTTGGCCGTGAACCTGCGTCAGTGAAACAATTGCCATGTGCATCAATCTACATCTATAGCTACCGCATTCCCAGAGTTTAGATTTACAGGTACAACCTTCAAACTGTGTCTTCTTATCTTATAGTGTGATTGTGCCTGAATATGTACATAGTATTTTACTATAAATCACTTTGCTTTTTATGTTCCTTTTACAACCAGAACTTCATTTACAAGAAAAATGAAGGCCCAAGTCCTGAATTTCATTTTATAGTAAAGAAGACCTTAGAAAATATTTGCTCTAAAAGGAGATGTTGGGGATGATGGGATGGAGGGTATATTGGGGTTCAGCTAGTTCTCGGGGAGCCTTCGTAGAACTCAAAAAAACAACATAGGTGCCTCCAACTCGATCAAATGGTGACTTGTGCTTTGGGGTGGTGGTGTTCAGGACGGGAGTTTAGGGAAATCCCTGCACTGCAGGCTGTGTTTTCCACCATGAACCTCTTAGCCCTGAGGGCTGCCTAGTGAAGGGTGCAGAGTGTGGTCCCTAGGGGGCTGCTTTAATTGGCAGATGCATGGTTTTGCCTCTTCAGGGTCTGGGCACCCCTGAGGGGCTAGGAGTCACCCGGATCCCCTTCCCTGGGGGAGGTTTAATTGCTTCTTTGCAATCCTGCAAGTCCCCTAGATTTTTCAGGAAACCCAACCCCTGAGTCAGTCAATGCCTGCTCAGCCAAGCCTAGCCCAGCCCAGGTCCTAAGGTTCCTAGGTTCTCAAGAAGGGAGCCTGGGAAGAGGAGGTGAAAGGATGTCACCACGTGGGGAAGAGCCTTGGGACTCTGAGTGCTGGGGTGACCTGGTATGGAGGAGGGAGCCGGGGAGGGGGGGACTGCAACAACCGCACCTGCGGCTGAAGGCTAAGAACACCTGCATCCGTGGGGCCTGGCCAGAGAACACAGCTTCCCCTCCTTGGGGGTCCCAAGCCCTTCTGTCCACTCCATCATGAGGGTTCTGTGGCCTTACTCCAGTTCCCAGCCCCTCCCCCGCTCCTGTGCCAGGCTCTCAGGAGGCCACGGAGGAGCTCATCATGCCAGGCAAATCCTGCTAATGGTTCAGGATTGAACCTATTGATCATATCAACAAATACTTAGGTAGCCTTTGTAAGTAGGAGGCACTCTTCTACCCTCTGATTTAACCTTTCCATTTTACATAACTGATTTAACCTTTAAATACATAAATACATAACTGATTTAACCTTTCCATTTTACAGATGAGTAACTGAGGCAGGGAGCAAGTAGGTAACTAGCCCAAGGTCACATCGCTGGTGAATGGTGCAGCCTGTTCATAGGTTCATATGCTCCCTCGCCAGCAAACCTCTTGCTCTCCTCCTCTTCTAAAGGGCTAGATGTCTGTTCCCTGGGGAATTTTGCCCTGCTGGACCCTGTTTAGCTGTTTCTGACTGTGCCTGGCACACTTTGTTTTGTAGGCCAGCTATTGTGTCTAAATCCTGGCCAGACTTAGAGCTCTCTGCATCTCCAGCCACCGCATAGTTGGCCTGCAGGTTTGGAGCTGGGTCTCTGGCCCTGAGGTCAGCTTCACTGGAAGTGACACAGGGCAAGGGAGACCAGGCACTGCCCTTGGGTGGGGAGATACACTCGGCCCCAAGGACTCTCAACACCACCAGGACTGGGCTGTCAACTGTCCTGGGGTGCAGGCCAGTGGACATGGCAGGGGACCCTGTGAAGAGAGGCCACTAGAGGCATGTGGTCAGGGAAGCTTCCTGGAGGAGGCAGCAGGGTCAGGAAGCTGAGAAGGGAGTAACAGCCAAGAAAATGCTAACGCACCTGGGGGCTCGGTTGGTTAAGCATCAGACTCAACATCGGCTCAGGTGATGATCTCAAAGTTCAAGAGTCTGGGCCCCAAGTTGGGTTCTGTGCTGACAAGTGTGGAACCTGGTTGGGACTCTCTCTCTCTCTCTCTCTCTCTCTCTCTTTGTCTGCCCCTCCCACACTCAAGCTCGCTCACTCTCTCAAAATAAATAAGTAAACTTAAAAAAAAATTTTTAAATCAGAAAAAAAATGCTGGCTGTCTGGAGAGCCTGTTGCCTTGGGTTGAGCCTCAGGAGTCTTCTCTGTGCCTGAGAGAGAGGCCCCACAGGCCCCACAACACATGTCCCCAGGCCCACAGAGAAACAGGGCTCTTCTTGGCCATGTGTACTCCCTCAACAAGCAAGACAGCCTGGAGACCAGGGTGAGGTTAGTGAGTCAGGGTGGGGGATTCCGCTGTGCTGTTTTATAGATAGGTATGCATCAAGAGACACACACAGACCAGCACCCCCAGGCACCAAGAACCACAGTCATACATGCAAATATACAGACACGAATGCTTCCTAGGACATGGGAAGACCAGACACAAGCAAACAGAGGTACAGAGAGACGCACAGCTCACAAACACACACACACAGACATGAGTGGGCACAGCACAGATATTCACACTCGTACATCCACGATCACACACAGACGACACACAGAGACGCAGTGCACCAGGCAGACATATCCAAGCATGTCCAGGCTTACGCATACACGTGCTCCTGATATACAAAGATACTCAGATTCAGACATCGAGCTTGCAGACCCCAGAGGCCCAGGCAGCTTCAGACGGACATGAGCCAGGAGCACACACCTAGATGTGCATGAACAGGCCCAGAGCCCCACCCACACAAGGTCATGGGCAGACTCACTTGCCCTTGTCTGGATCTCAGGCTGCCTTCCCAGTAACAGGATTTTGGCATCCAACAGGCACCCTGTGCCAGCAATTACCTCGCTGGGATCATGAGGGTGGCTCTCCCACGGGGCCTAGGAGCCAGTGCCATGGGGGGCCTAGGTTTGGGGTCTGGACCTCTCTGGGGTACGTGCAACCCCGGATCCTACTGTTGGGGGTTGCAGAGGATGGTCCACCATGTCTCCTGACTCTCGGACATGGAGGGTAGGGCAGGGCGCAGAGGCAGTGCATAGTCTGGCCACCCCTCACCCAGGTCTCAGGCTTAAGGCCTCAGGTGACAGGAGCCTGTCCTTCCTCAAGAGCTGGGGAGGTAAAGGCCATCCGTGAGGCTACACATACTCACTTCTGGTGCAGAAAACAGATTCTGGACACCAGGGCCAAGAAAGAGGGATCCAGGAAGGGTTGCATAACTGTCAGTCTCTGAGAGGTGACAGGAGACGGAGGAGCTTGGGACATGTAAAGATGTTCCTGCTCCGAGTAAGGCTGTTACACAACTGAAAGTGTGGCCTTGGGGAGGTGACCTGGTAGGGAGGCCCAGAGCAGGCACATCCACCCAACTGCTCCAGCCCTACTCTGCCCTCAGTGAGCCTTGAACTCCATACCTTCTCCCAATTCTGAGGGGCAGTCTGCCTAGGCATCTCCCACCGTCCCAGCCTCTCTGTTTCTCCAAGGCCTGCCCACCCTTCAGAATCTGTCCCAAGGGCACCTTGCAAAGGAAGGCCTCCGGAATCCCTCCCATTCCTATCTCAGCTATTGGGTGGGGCACCCAGGGTAGGGAGGAGGTCATCGGAAGTGCTGGCCTTGCTGGCTCCAGGAACTTGGGCAGCCTCTGCCCAAGGGTGCCTCTGGCGCCACCCATCAGGCCCTCATGCTACCAGGCCAGAGCTCACCCACATCCCTGAGCTGGACCTGCACGTGCTCATCCTATGAGTCTGACTGTGACTTGTCTCACCGGCTGCACAATGAGCAGGTGGTTCATCTGGCCTGCTGATGGTGGGTTGGGATGAGGGAGGGAGGCATGTGTGCCTCAGGGCCTGTGTGTGTGGTAGCATCTCTGGGTGCAGAGCTGGGTGTTGGGAGGAAAAATCCGGGCCACAGAACCCCCAGTTTAGTGTGTTCTCCTTGGCTCACAGCAGGACACTTCCAGGCCTGGGGCAGATGATGGGATCAGAGAGGCCCATTAGGACTTCCTGCTTCCCTGTTCCCCAGCTTCCAGCAGCATCCTCTCCTCACCCCCAGCAGCTCCGTGGTGCCATTCCCACCTGATACATGTGGAAGGAATGTGCCCTGGATCTGGGCTCATCAGGTGAGGAGAGCAGGGCTCCCTGGGGGTGTGTGGGCTCTCCTCCTGCAGGGCCTCACCTGCCATGTCATACTCCTGCTGGGCCTCCTCCAGGCACTGCTTGTGCTGCACCTCGATCAGCCGCAGGTAGTAACATTCTTCCAGCTGCAGGATGGTTGTCCAGGTGCCCTGGGGAACAGAGGGAGAGGACCCATTAGCTTCATCCACGGCCTACCTCCCGTCCACAGACTCCAGGAGCATGAGACTCAACAGGGCCTGTCACTTGACTGACCCAAGTTCTAG